AGTTCGATCATGGAGCTAAAAAAAAGAGCTCCCTGGTTTGATTGATATCATATAATCTTACATCATGGTCCTTTATTCCTTGAATTTAAAGTCAGATTCAACTATTCCACCCTTTACCATTTTAATCAGCCTTTTGGTCAGCCTAAAAAGTCCAGTATACTGAACTCAAAGTGAGGCTGTTACTTTGTTTAATCAGCCTAGGGAGTCTAGTAAACTGAACTCAAAGTTAAAGTATTAACTTTTTAATAATCAGCCTAGGGTATCCAGTAAATTGAACTCAAATTGAGGCTGATATCGTTTCAATCAGCTTATGGAGTCCCGTAAATTGAATTCAAAGTGAGGCTAAAACCATTTTAATCAACCTAAGAACCTAGTAAACTTAAATTTCAGAATACCAATTCTTTACTAGAATCACCACATCCGACAATGTACAACACACACTTACATAAGGTAAGGTTCATGCCATGTGCGACCACACATGTGCAGTCAGTCCGGCGAACCATTTATTTGACATAGTACACTAATAAGCAGACTAAAACGGCTGCCATTACATTGCTTGTTATACACAATTGTACTGATTAAACATACAAAAACGTAATGAAAAATAATAACTCGAATTAGCATTCAAAAATATTCAAAAAGCCGGCATTGATATCAATTTTTGGTGCTTGGCACATGCTACTAATATTAATAAGTCGACAAAAACATTTAAAATAACTGACAAATCGTTAACAAAAATATCACCCCGTCACTGGCACGCCGACCGCCCAAGGAAAACCAAGAATAAAAAACCCTTTCCTATAGGAAATTGGACAAAAAATCCTGGAAACCTGTACCCGTCGCACTGTCGAGCGTGCCCAGGGGAAAGGTGGCGGGTGTCACCCAGTGTGATACAACAAAAATTAATAAATTTACAAAACAAAATAGTTGAAAACTGTACCGTAGAGAGACTAGTCTACACTGACATTCAACCGTCTGCCTTTCACTTAAATACCCACAGTCATGTGACCCCACATACCATACCCGTCTGTTTGTCATCCCGAACAGACAATAGTTAACCGCTATACTGCAAAACGCGGTTAACAATATTTCTTTACAGTGTCGGTCTTTCCTTTAATTGATAAAGCCAACATGTTAAGTCAAGGATCATGTCTAAATTTCAACAATTTAAAGATATGCCAGATTTCCAAAATTCCTCTAAATCCACCAACCTATTACCAGCTGTTTATATCTAATCCTCAGTTGCGGCGTTGAGGGCGTATGCCGATCATGTTCTTCAATTCTCACTATTATCAATTTTAAACTTAACCGATATGGGACATTTCCAACGAACAACTAAACTAGAAAATGTTACGATATTCTTGGCAAAATCATTTCAGATAAAATAATTCCCAAATGCTATAAATGACTGTGTTTATATTTTAAAATATGAATATAATGCAGTGTATAGTCAATTTATTGGCTACTCGTTTTTTACTCATTGCTAGCATCGGTGTTTCCTGGTAACATAGCAACGCACAAATGCCCTCATAAACTTCCATGGCAAAGTTGAAAAGTGTGACGTTAGTCTGCGCCCCGAATACACATTAAAATAGCATATCATGAACTCTGATCTTTTGTTTAAGACCGTCACGTTGATTGGTCAGAACGTGGTCACGTGGTGGTGAACAAAATTAATCATTAACTCAGAGTCAATAGTGAAAATCCAGTGCCTTCCATTTATTCATTGTGCATGCGTGTTTAGAATGTTTACGATAACAAAATGTCATCGGCCACAGATTTCAATCATTCGTGTGTTTATTTGAAATAAAGAACATTTATTCAGTATTTAGTTTGATTGACTCAGAAAAATTATAAACTTCGGTTTTGCCTCAGTTCATAATTCTAATTTGAGTAATTAAAACTGAATATGAACCCATTCCAGGGTATTTATTTGTGTATGTGTGTGTAAATTCTATGTCTGTTTAATTTGCAGATCGATGAAGATGAACAGGGGAATTTCTCTTCTTGTGCTGTGTATCGTGGTGACGTCACAGATAGTCGATGGTGGCGTTATTCGTAATATCCCCAGCAGAGATCGTCGAGATGTGTCTGAAGATGATATATTATGGGACGAGTTGGAAGCATGGATTGATGGCATCGCTGATAAGCAAGTAGAAGCAGGCACACAGACTGATGGGAGTTACGGAAATGATTGGTTGGATGAGCTTTGGAAAATGGATGACATCTCGGTGGAATCTGACAAACCAGCAGTGACTGCATCACCGGTCAGTAGTGAAAACAGTGACAAAACTAGTGAAGGTGAAGAAAGTGAAGAAAAGAGTTTGGCGAGTTGGTGGGATAGCTGGCTCAATCCAACACCAGCAATCGACACACAAGGCGATCCGTATGCAGGTAATTGGTGGGAAACCGGTAGTCAAGGCAACCCAGAAAATGGTAATCAGGAAAACCCATGGTATGGTAGTCAAGGCAACCCAGCAACTGCTAATCAGGGCAACCCAAGCTATGGTAGTCAAGGTAATCCAGAATCTGCTAATCAGGGCAACCCAGGGTCTGGTAGTCAAGGCAACACAGGAACTGCTAATCAGGGCAACCCAAGCTATGGTAGTCAAGGCAACCCGGGAACTGCTAATCAGGGCAACCCAGGGTCTAGTAGTCAGAGCACCACAGGGTATGGAAGTCAAAATAATCAAGAACCTGGTAGTCAAGGCAATCCTTGGTCTGGTAGTAATGGAAATCAAGGATCTGCTAATCAAGGCAACCCAGTGTCAGGTAATCAACATCAAGAAGATCCTTGGAATCATTGGAGTAACACTGGGAGTCAGTGGCCTAGTAAGGGAAACACGGGAAGTGAATATAACCCACAAGGTAGTCAATGGAGAAATACACAGAGTCCTGGTTTGAACAGAGGCAGTCAGTGGGGTACTGGAAGCTCTCAATGGGGAAAAGGAGCAAACCAGGGAAACGCTTGGTCAGGGAGCCAAGATGGAAGAGGGACAAACCAAGGTAACCCTTGGACGGGAAGCCAAGGTGGAAGAGGCACAAACCAGGGAAACCCTTGGACGGGGAGCCAAGGTGGAAGAGACACAAACCAGGGAAACCCTTGGTCAAGTGGAACAGGAAAAAACCAGGGTGACCCTTGGACGGGGAGCCAAGATGGAACAGGGACAAACCAGGGAAACCCTCGACCAGGGAGCCAAGGTGGGACTGGGACAAACCAAGGTAACCCTTGGACGGGGAGCCAAGGTGGAGGAGGCACAAACCAAGGTAACTCTTGGATGGGGAGCCAAGGTGGAAGAGGCACAAACCAAGATAACCCTCAATCAGGAAACCAAGATAACCCTTGGACAGGGAGCCAAGGTGGAGGAGGCACAAACCAAGGTAACCCTTGGACGGGGAGCCAAGGTGGAAGAGGCACAAACCAAGATAACCCTCAATCAGGAAACCAAGGTAACCCTTGGACAGAGAGCCAAGGTGGAAGAGGCACAAATCAAGGCAACCCTTCGCCAGGGAGCCAAGGGGGAAGAAATCAAGGCAATGCCAGGGGTGACAATCCAAAACGTCCAGAGTCGAGTGGTGGTAATGCTAATGGTCGGAACTGGTGGAACGCGGGACAGGGAGCTGACGATGGAACTGGAGGTGGTATGGGTAACTGGTGGGGTTGGGGTAATCCTGGTGCATCTGATCCATCGAGTAATCAGGGTGGTGATGCAGATATATGGGGTGACTATGGTGGATTGCTTGACAAACTCAAAAACGCTAACTGGTGGGAATCTGGTGGAGATACTAACATAGATTGGGAGTCGGATATATATGAGGAAGACGACAAATCTAAAGAGAAAGACGATGACCTCCTAGGGGATAACTGGCATGATACATCGCTGGATAACTTTTGGGAAACAGCTGATGACAATTGGTGGGAAACTCCCGATGACAATTGGTGGGAAACCGAAGGTGACAATTGGTGGGATTAACCAGTGTACCATTTCCGGTCCTGACCCACAATGCACGATATATTTACAGTCTATCATTAATTGTAGTAGTTCATCAGAACCACGTGATTGCATTAAATATCATACCATATAAGGCAATGCTAAAATTTTGTAGAATATACCTTATTAGTGAGTATTACACCCCAAGGTCTCATTAGCCAATCAAAATCGCGTATTTGCAGGTTACTAAAATCGAGCATTCCCTGCTACCAAAATTACGGGTTGTCATCCGGGTCTTTTGTTCTAGGTTCAGCCTGGGGTCCACTCAACAAATAGTTGAGAACGATATCAAAATATATCGTTATTTCTGATGGTTTGGATCCACATTTTGAAATGATATGGTGTGACAATTTAGTTTGGTATGTTGTGTAATTTTAGGGTACATAAATATGTAAATTCATCAGAATTAAGTTGTTTGTCATTTATTTTTGTACGATGTTTTCGTGCCACTAAAGATGAACTGATGGAATTTGTTGAAAACAGTTTATTCAGTTCAATAATATAAACTTTTACCCACCGCTCAGTTGACATCCAGTTTGTGTGGTCCTTTGATGGTATTGTAAACCACAGCTGTGCTCCGGGTCGAGTAAACATTTGTATAATGGTTGTCGTGACAGGATGACATGGCACTGTTTGAGCGGCAAAAACAAGTCTCGTGGCACTCTCGTCATCAACGAGATCTCGGCGGTCATGTACCTCCATGATCTATTGGCGATTAAATAACATCTACAGTAATGATTACAGATTTCGCTTATTGTTATTAGTGTCACGTGACTAGATGTCGGTGATTGTCAGTATAATTGTGCTTGATTTAAATCAATAAACCATATGCCGGGTTCTGGCTCGTGTGATATTCATCCGACCACGTGACTAAATTGTAGCCTCGTTTGCAGTTAGTTTATGGCGCGCATGACCACCATTGCACCAGCGAACGACAATACTTGTTTCTAAATTCTAAGGCACGCCAAGATCAAGAAATACACTTGGTGGACTACTTTACGGTGGCGGACGTACAAACGTGTCACTGAACCCAGCAAATGGTCATTTTACTCATGTGACGTTGTTCTGAAACACTGTCGATTTCAATGAGCTAAATTATGTCGTGGTACCTGTATTTAAATATTCTATAATGCCGATTATATGTCAAGCGCAATATGTCAAGCGGCCTAAAAAGGCGTTTTGCCAGGTCATCCTAGAAAATGGGGGATATTGAACTAAAGTTGTTTTATCGAGAACGTGCATATTTTCATAAAATAACAAAGACGACGCATGCGCATGATTTTTTTAATTACTGTTACGTACTGTTAATTTCACTTTCATGCAAGAAAATGCATTCAAGTGAAAGAAGTCATTCTGAAACGAAGTTGACACGTGATTCCGCTACTCGTGGGTCAACTGATTGTGCGATGTTATCGGTTGTTCACCGGATTAACCGGACAGACTGGTAAGTTGCATCATCGCAATCAGACAGGGGAGCTCAATTGCCTGCAAACCCGACTCCGGCATTCGAGGTGAGGAGGGCACATCTAACCACGTGACCGTGCTAAATTTAGTTTTCCTCACCTTCCCATAATGAGTAGACCTTACAGGCGATGGCCGCCGAGATTTCATTGATAGCAAGAGTCACGTGACATGTTTTTACCCCTAAAATAGTGTCCCATTCTATCCTGCCCTTTAATGCTCCAATTACCATGGTTACAGTAACTGTTCTAAACACCGTGTTGACATTCATCATCGGAGTAGTGGACGCAATGACGGGATAGGCGTAGTCTCGGGGGTTTTCTCGCTCTCGCTCTCGGTGAGATAAACGTCTGAAACGTTATGATTAATATCGATAAGCCGACTAAATAGCGCATTGCTCCCAAATCCGTGACGGTTTATAGTTAATGTCTATTCAAGTTGACGACACACATTGAAATGATCTCATTGCGCAATTCGACACCGATACGTCGTTGTGTCAATGATAACCACGCGACGAGCATTGGTGATTTTTTTTTTCATATCACAATTAATAAACGTCTAGTCCTATGAACTCGTGCAGTGCATTATGGGAGTATCTTTTTTATCCCTACACACTGGTAGCGACATAAAATTATATTGCAGTTAAAAAACGACATCAGCACCTGTTGCCCAATAATCCCCCCTTGGTTCAAAACACATAATAGTGTCAGCCGGCAAAGCGCAACAAGTGGGACACCCTATTATCCACGGGGGTGTGGGTTGGGACGAAGAGACAGAGTTCCGGTTGCTACTTGAAGTTTGTTTTCTTACTGAAGCGCCTTGTGATTTGAACAGATTGAATCCGGCGTGCCCCGAATAGTAAGTTGATAATTTGTTATTAGGTATCGGGACAAATTGTAAATCCTCTTCGGCCAATATCCCTACAGTAGAATGGAACGACCGTGGATAAATTTGCATAATAGAATATGATATCACATGATATCGATTTCGTCAGATTGTATGTGCAGTTCGGACATATACACATAGATTCTCAATTGGTCCACTGCTGAAGACAAGCGGAGAAAACACAATGCGGCAAATGTTTATAGTCTGCCTATTAATGGCAATATTGCATGCAGGTAAGTCTAGACGCTATTGATAACTTACATTTTTATTCATAAATCGATCGTTTGGAGCAAAGTTAATGGGTCTGGTAACAACCGGGCGGGGAAAAATAATAGCAACAATTTCCGAATCTCGTAAGATATACTGATGATGTGGAATGTTTTTATTTTCCGGTTTATTGCGTAATCTCAATTATAATTATTATCTGAAATTTTTCCCGCGAAGCTACTTATAAGATTGTGCCTGGTTGGCTACGTAATTCTGACACCTAATAGACGGACCAATCAGAGAATAGCTTGTTTGTTGACAATTATTTTTCGTCGTATCAATTTCTGCCTTGTATATATGATTCAACTCAACTGCCTCCATATATGCAAATATCCCGCGCGTGAGATGTCGTCTTTGCAAGGCAACACAGACTGATGAAAAACGCAGACGTGACGTCACCGTGGTGTCGGCTAAATGTGTGTTTGGGGTAGGGTATAAAAGATAACGTAGGTACGGAGGCTTAATTGAGGGGGTTGTTGAAGCTAACTGTAATGAGGACGTCTCTCCGTCAACTCACCTATCAAAATCCAACAGATAATCTGCACGATTTGTTTGCAAATATATGTGAGTTTGTTTACATTGCGTGAGAGAAAAGAAAGGGAGCCTGCCAGTGCGACAGCTTGTTTTGAGAGATTGGATGAAAATAATCTAAATTGAGGTTTTGCACACGCCACTCTTCATTACGTCACGAACATAACATTGACCGCGCGTTTTTTTTATCTCTCACCTACTCTCCCTCTCAAAGATGCACACAAATTATAGAGATATTCCTTCAAGGGCGTAACTGAAAGAAGTGACCGATAAAGTAATCATCACTTTGCAGATGTGCACGTGCACACAAAAATGATTCGATTTTTTCGTAGTCCCTTAGAAGAACTAAGGTTAAACAGACTACAGGCTCGTTCGCTCGTTTTGCCACGTCGCAATAATATTTATTCCTTTACGCTAACCCCGTGCAAATACGTGATTATATTCGTATACTGAGTATAATAGGCAGACCAACTGTTACACTGAGCTTCTCGCTTCGATACTCACATTATACCTGTTGCTCATTACAACAATCTACGTGCACAGCTGGTGTACAATGAATCACGATTTGCACGGATTATACCTGCCTGCAAACCGGAAACGGAATTACTATAAAACGGCAACTGGGGGCGTGCTTTATTTGCAGTGTTATGGAGGTACAAACATTCTGACGGCTAAACTACTTGTAACTTCCGCCCGTTGTTGTCAACAGTTCGTAGAAGAAATATATTTCAGCGGCATCAGTGATTATGATTTAGAATAATTCGTGTATGTTTACCTTTTCATCACCAGAATCTCCTCCAATTTTTCCTACACTTTTTTCTTATATTATTTAATATTTTTGGAAAAGAACCCTAATTTTGTAGCCAACGGACAAGATTTTTGTTTTTAGTAAATAATTTTGTCTAAAATGCAGACTATAAACGGGAATTTTTTTTGAGTTTGTTATGAAGAATAGTATTCACATTGCAGCGCTCAACACTAGAGACTAGCAAAATATAACAAGAGCATGATGGGTATTTTCTAGTAAACTCCACAAAAACACCAAAATGTGACTTTTTCTGCTATTACATATCACCTTGTATGTGTATAAGATTTTGCGTTATTTGTTGGAAAGTCAGTTTATTGGCATTTTGGGTCGCTGTGCACTGTTTAAGGGCTTACTTGTTTGTTTGTTTGTTTGTTTGTTTGTTTGTTTGTTCATGGTATCATAATTCTCGGCATTGCCTTTAATCTGCTTGCCAGTCAGGTTTCAAATAGTTACGCGCCGCCATTTTCTTTCTTTCTTTTCTTTCAGATATTGGCTACGTGTCGTTATAACGTAAATGGTCATGTGATTAAAGCAAAATCTACATCACCCTTCTCAAACTAAAAGCCCAAAACAACAAAGTTTTTTTAAACATATTTTTTTTCAATGTTGGGATGAATTCCACCTATTTATAAATATATTTCAAATATATAAATTTTAGAGACTTTGTCAAAGTTCATAAGCTTTACAACGTATTTCAAATACATCAATTTATCTGGTATATTTCATTCCAAACTTCCTGATTGGCTGCCCTTCCCTGTCACCTTACAGTCGGACCAACCAGAGAGTAGCTTTTGAGCCGACATGTTTTTTCGGCCTATCAAATTCTGCCTTTTTCAATCAAACTGTTTTCATCAGCTATTGAAAAAGTTGGCATAGATGTGTACTGTTCAAACTTCAACATTAGTATAGCCTATACTCTATGAGGGACTTGGTTATGATAGCTATTTATTTGTTTAAAGACTACATTCGCCATGATATGCATGATAATGCACGGAATATAGTCTTTGGGGTTATGCAATAGGGCGAAGTAACGTGTGCAATTATTTTGTGTTTTTGTCGATTGTTGTTAACCACACTCGTGATGTTTTAAAGCGGGAGGGTCGACA